CAGATAGGTCGGTACACGCGATTCGACGTCAGTGATCGAACATCAGGCTCTCTTCGGTGTGGTTATCAGTGTATCACAGTTTATAAATCCGACGCATGCCCCGCGATCGACCATTGTTTCCATTAATTACACTCTGGCATTTCAGTCTGGCACACTCTTCGCGCCCCCTTTCATTCACACCCATCTCCTTAAACGCACATGTTCACCTAATCTTCCTTTAATATATCTTAGTATCACAATGGACGATTTTATATTTCTCTATCTTGTTTTTTTTTTTAATAATTTATATATTTCATCCTCTTCTCCTTCCACTCTTGCTCTTCTTTTTTTTTCTTAATATTTTGTTTATAACCTTAAGCTTAGAAATCACAGTCGCGAATTGATACGGATCACCGTAGCATGTGCTGCTGCTGTTGCTCGGTCAGAAACGATCATACCATCTCGTATCGAGCATGCCCTCTCTTTCTATTCCTTTCTCTGTTACTCTCACCACGTTGCACACGATTGGTACGACTAGTCACCGATTATTCTCTTTGGGACACGATGGTTGGCCGTTTGAACAATTCCCGTTCTCGAAGGGCTCCACATACACTCAGGGCTTCTAATTCTTTCTCTCTTTTTTCCTTTTGTTTCCTGTTTTATATATATATATTTTTTATAGATATATATATTTATTAATATTCGTTCTGGGACGGAATACGCGTGATTCGTTCGCCAGCCTTGTGCGTGAAGGCCGTCTCTCTCATCTGTTTGACACAAAAACTCGTCACGAGAAAAAGCACAGGATTATTCCGCGTCTATCTGCCTCTGGAAGGAGTTTCACTGTCGACCATTAATGCGCACGTGCGACCGACGGGCAATGTGCCGAATCTTCTCGCTCGTCGCCGTTTTGACGAGGAGAACACATAAAAACTACGTCGATGGGACGCCTTTCAGAAACGAGACACGGTTACGAGTCGCGGGAAACGGATTGCTTCGGTCGCATGCTTCCTCACCTCGCTTCGTTCCTTGCGTTTTGTCACGTTTACAACGCGATTCTTCATATTCGGTTTGATCAAGCACAAATACCGAAGTGCCATCCTTTCTTTTTCTCCTCTACTAACACCGAATCTCTGTCCACATCTCCTTTTTTTCTCCTTACACTTTTTTCTTCGTCTTCTATTCTTCTCTTTCTTTCTCTCTCTCTCTCTCTCTCTCTCTCTCTCTCTCTCTTTCTCTCTCTCTTTCTTTTCTCTCTCTCTCTTTCCTTCTCCTTGTCACTAATCACCCATTTCTCCTTCTCCGTCGAGAATGTAGCCAAACATCATTTGAAAGGACCAGATGTCGTGACGACCGTTGTTCTTCCCTGTCGATCCTGTCAAAAATGACACATGCTCAACTAAGTATCGTCGTCACTGAACGTTGATGCGCATCTCCGACGGCAATTCGACGGCATGGCAACCTATACACGTAACGAAACTCGGTGGCGCGATAGTCTCGATGCCGTGCGACCGTCGATCGATCGAAAATCATCTGCCCGCCTCGAGTCGTGCTCCGTTGCTCCTCGCTGCCACGCTTCAACACGATCCAACCGTGTTCCTCGCAAGCACATCGATTCTCTTCTGCCTCCGCGATAGAAACGAGGAAGGGAATCGACGTTCGGTCACGATCACAAAGAATTTCGTTTTACGCTGTTTCTCACTCGATTGACACTCTGTTCCTAACGATATATCCGTTCCAGATTCTAGCAACGGCCACTAACGACATTTGATTTTCTTCGATTATGATCCCGCCGTTTATTCGACAACCACTTCTCTCTCTCTCTCTTTCTCTCTCTCTCTCTCTCACTCTCTCTATTCTGTATCTATTTTCGTTTACCCTCTCTTTTTTCTTTATCTATTCCGTTCTATCTCGTTATCGGTTAAATGTAACCAAAATGTACACCAGTGGCCGCGCACACACTTGTCCTATCTCCCTCAGTCAATCGCGATCAGCCATTATTACCGAATAATCCCGCGACTGCTTAATTACTCTCGATACCGCATTCACCGCTTCTCGATATTTCCCCCTAGAAGCACGGGACACCGATAACAGGACTTATTCGCGTAACCCGTTTATATTACGCAGTTTCCTTACCGACGATGATACCACTAGTTCTTTTCTCTTTTTTTTTCTCTTATTGTTTTTCCCTTTCTTTCTTTATCTCTGTCTCTGTTTCTTTTTAAATCGTCCTGTCTATAGTTTTTACTTTCTACGTTGTCCACACTCCACTCTTCCGGGGACCGGTTGTTCGTTTCGACGTATGGCGCACCGTTGATCCTTCTCTGCGACAGTCGAAACGAAAAGAGACTCGTTACGAAGAATCGAGCAATCCCAATGTCCACGATGTCTAATGTGTCGTTGTACTGCGATTGTTTTTTTCTTTATTTTTTTATCTGTTACGAGACACACGCGCGCGCGAACTTCGTCTTATCCCCCACCCCTTGTCGTCCTTTAGTCACGGTTTCCCTTAACCTCGACACCTACGATTCCTTATGCTTCCCTGTCTCTCCTTCCCTTCCACACATCCTCGCACTCACCTCGCCCAATCGCACACTCTCTTTCTCTTTCTCTCCCTCTCTTTCTCTCCGTTCCTTTTTCACGACTTTCATTCATTTCGACAAAGGGCGCGACGTTTCCTTTAAGACGATTCCATACACGCGCCCCGCTTCTACCCTTATCGATTATGACGCATACTGCATTGAGAAAGGCTGCCCACCCGTTGACAGCCGAAAAGGATTCCCCGCGTGAACAGTTCGCAGATCCCTCTGCTCGCCTAGCCCACGACAAGAAAATCCGCGAGAATCCGTGCACGGGTGTCGCAAGTATATGTGTGTGGGTGCCTGCGGCAGCCGCGTTACGTATACAAGCGTAACCCCGACCTCGATGTTAGGCGGCTGATAGCCGGCCTCACACTGATACGGCTCCGTCGTTACGACCACGGGCCATACCCGCCCCTTCAACACCCCCACCATTTGTTCGAAAAAAAACTACACCCCTCTTTAGAAGTACGATCATCGCGCCTCCTCGCGGTGTTTGTGGTAAACAATTCGTACGACCCTTCCATTTCAACCTAACACGCATGCGCTAACCTACAAACTATATACCACGTACCATTTTTCGGACGGAATTGCACGTTATTCTTGCCATCTGATATTTTTTCCATGGTTAGAATGAACACTTCTATCAAATATTTTGTGTAATTCTTTGATACACAATTCATTAGAAAAAAATATTTTGATTTATTATAGAGATTATATTTTCTTATCAGAGGACGAGAAAAAAACATAAAAATTCAATTTTCATACATATAAATGTCACGTTTTGTTTATAATTCTAGGAAAATAAATATTCATATATTTTTCTAACTTATGCTTTCTTTGAAACAAATTTTCAAATGATTACATTCGATAAAAACTTGAGAAACTGATTTAAAAAATATCGAACAGCGCATGTATCATTTCTACATATATCAAAATATATATAATATAATCGAAGAGAATTTGAATATTTATAATCATTATATTAATCTGTTTCTATTTTTTTCTATAAAAATAAGCATATATATGTGCTTAAAATTTGATTTTAATTAATATTTAGTAACCTATTTAAATAACATTAGAAATATTACTATTAAATTTTTATCATTACTATTAAATACTAATTAAATAACAACAATGTAAAAATATATCTTTTCATAATTATATTTTTACAATTAATCTTTTTTAAGAATAGTTCTATTTATGATATTATTATCTGTTGAATACTGTTGAATACTTATAGACGTATTCGTTGCGTGTATAAAGGAGTATTGCAGGACTATGCTTTATGTGGCGTTTCCTGCAGTACTGACACTAAAGTTATACGATACCGAAATCATATATACTTTGACTACGTTTAATCGATGCCTCTAATAAAACCAGTATGAATATATAGGAGAAATTTCATACGTTCTCTTATAAGTTTGATTTACAATTAATACAAAAATATTATATTATGTTTTCATTAGTAAATTTATATTTCATATAGATAAAAAGTGAGAACAAATATAAATTTTACCTATACAAAAATTGAAATACCATAGTATATTATCTATAATAATATGTATTAATTATTTTAACTATAAGTTGATTTATTTACATAAAATTATGAAATATATAAGATCTTTGCCATTTTTATAATTGTAATTTTTTCTTTTTTTAACAATTAAAAAATTAATAAATTTATATCAAGTGTAGATAATAAATTATATTATTTATTTGTTTTTTGTCATAGTATAATTTAATAACTTAATAAAAAAATAAGAAATTATCCAAAAATATGAAATCTAAAAATAGATACAATTTTCATATTGCTTACCTTATTTTGATATATGTCTTTTTTAATTTTGAAATCATACAGATTTTTGAAAATTCGATCACGATAACATGAAGTATTTGTTGCGACATCTTTTCGCAAAATTTGAAATTTTTTTATGTTCTTTCTCTTTTAAATTTTTCATCTATAAAAAACATATTAACTTAATTAATAAATACATATAATCTGATTGAGATTTATAATCTTTATTATTTTAGAAATATTTTCTTTAAAGTAAATATTTATCATGAATAATAATAAATCATTTTCTAATTTTAGTTTAGAATTATTTATAAGCAAGAATAAAGAATGTTTTTATCACATAAAAAATGCATAAAATTATATTTTTTTATTATCGATTATCTTATTATCATATTTACTTACACTCAAAAATTGCAATAACTTTGAATACACAATAAAACTGATACTATTCTTTAAATAAACACAAAAATTTCACAAAGTAAATGAAGGTCTTGCACGTTCGAACACGTATTCTTGATTTAAGTTTCAGATGTCGCCACTATCCAACAGAGCTTTCCGTTAATCGTTCTACGTATAGTCGATGGATCGAGAAATCGTTTAGTATCGATCAGACAGCGGGTGCAGTCTGTCAGAAATACTAGAGACGGAGTTTTTATTATATCGGAATTGTATCGTTCCGAATAAACTTTTTTCTCCTGAAGAAAACGAGTAATGCTGTCGTGACGTTCGTGGAATAGGATTGTGTTGCAAAGAAGATAATATTTGCAACGATTACTTTTTCCGTTCTTTCAAGAAACGAGAGCATTTTGCATCGAACTACTACTATAGCCATTTTTGTAGTTCTATACTAACAATTGTGCCTCTTGTGATCCGCAATGGCGGAGACAAATGGGGCCGCAAATATAAATACGAAAAACGACAATTTTATTTGCGGTGTTGTCGAAGGTATATAAACGGCTGTTCTATTCTATGTAATACGTATTGTAATCACCGTTTGTGATGGCTTTGCGTAGGAGGGGGAATGATTGGAATGCGTTATTCATTACAGTAGTTCTTATTGTTTGAATAAAATATATTTTTTAATATAATAATTATATTTTAGGATTTTATGGGCGGCCTTGGACCACAGAACAAAGAAAGGATTTATTTCAAAAGTATATATATTAAATCAGTTTTTTTTCAATTTTTAAAATAATATTTATAATATCATTTCAAGTCTTTTCATTTATTAATTTTCAGATTAAAAAAATGGGGAATGGATTCATATTTATATGCTCCAAAAGATGATTATAAGCATCGTGCATATTGGAGAGATTTATATACAGTAGAAGAAGCTGAACATTTAACAGGATTAATAACAGCTGCAAGAGAATGTGGCATTACATTTTATTATGCATTATCACCAGGCTTAGATATCACATATTCAAGTGTAAAAGAAGTTACTGTATTAAAAAGGAAATTAGAACAAGTTAGTCAATTTGGTTGTACTGCATTTGCATTATTATTTGATGATATAGAACCAGAAATGAGTGAAGCAGATAAAGAAGTATTTCAATCTTTTGCTCATGCACAAGTATGTATTAAGAAAACTAATTAACATATTATAACATATTATAAATATATTATTTCTAATTAAATGAATAATCTTTTTATAGGTTTCTGTTACAAATGATATTTTCCATCATCTTGGTCAACCCAGATTTCTATTGTGTCCAACACAATATTGTGCAACTAGAGCAATGCCAAATGTAGCATCATCAGAATATTTAAATACACTTGGTAGTAAATTAGCTCAAGAAATTGATATAATGTGGACTGGTCCTAAAGTAATATCTAGACTTCTAACTGTTGAATCTATTGAAGAAATTACAGAAGTTTTGAGAAGGCCACCAGTTATATGGGATAATTTACATGCTAATGATTATGATCAGAAGCGTGTATTTTTAGGACCATATTCTGGTAGATCTCCTGATTTAATACCTAAACTGAGAGGTGTTTTAACTAATCCTAATTGTGAATATGGAGCAAATTTTATAGCAATTCACACATTAGCTCAATGGAGTAGATGTAATGTTGATGGCAAAAGAGATTTAAGCTTAAGTAAGTATCAATTGTTTTTGATTAAAAAACGCATGAAATTTGTAGTATTTTATTATATCTTGTTTTATAGATGATACTGTATCAGCTGATATAAAATTAGAGACTGAAACGGAAGATGGAGTGCTTGGTGAAGATGTTCCTTCAACAATGTCTCCGAATATATATCATCCTCGACATGCTTTGAAAAATGCCATTAACGATTGGTTAGTGGAATTTAACAAAAAACGAAACGCATGGGGTGTTATAGCAAAACCACAACCATGCGTTGCTCCAACAATACCAATCCCAATAATTCCATCTGTGAATACATGTATGAGTCTTACGTCAACGACGACTACTACTACCGTCCCCGCAACGCCTACTCCAGTAAATAATTCCAATCATCTTCAAGCATTGGCTGAAGTTTGCTCAAATGTAACAACCACTGATAATTATGTGCCACCTCCCGCTGGTCCTGTCATGAATTCTTTGGTATCTGAAACAACTGTTGTTAGTGAACCTATTATTCCATCAATTTCTACTATTGTGGAAAATGTACCAAATTCAAATACTTTATCATCCATGGAACCAATGGATTGTAACACAACACCTAATAATTCCCCAGCACATGCAGTTAAAATTCAAACAGAGGATGATGTTATGGTAGAAAATACTTCTGTAAGTCTTTTTAAATGTCATAGCATAGAAATTTTTGAAATTTATGCAATTTTTTTGTTATACAGACATGTAGTGAAGCATCTGGTAGTATGCAAGTAGAAGTAGATAGCATCTCTCCTGTTGTAAATGGTACTCAAATGATTGTTGAAAATGATAACGAAAATCATGACAACGGCGATAATATAGATCAAGAATCACAGGATTCGATTGATGTCGATAAGCGATTAACGCAAGAAGATCTATCACTTTTATGTGATCTTTTTTATTTGCCATTTGAACATGGTGGTCAGGGTATTCAATTATTGCAAGAGTTTAATTGGTTAAAAAGTAATGCTCATGTCGTCATGAGAAAATCAAAAGAGGATCAAACTGCATCTGAATCTGATGTATGCAATTCTTTTATTAATGTACTATAATTTAAATATATACATAACAAATTATAAAATTTTAGATTGAAGAATGGCATACACGGGCAGCTAAGTTAAATGATATGTGCAATGCTGTAAATAGATTATTTCAAAGACTTACACATTGTAATAATCGTGAGTTGTTATATGATCTATATTCATATGTGTGGGACATGCGAGGAGTCGTGTCTCTCTTAAACAGTTATGTGAAATGGTTGGGTAAGTTACATTTTATTTTTATAATAAAATAAATATAGTCATCACTGTTAGATTTTGTTAAAAAAAAAAAAGAAATTAAAAATTAAAATTTTTTAAATTAAGTAAAAATAATATTAAAAATATTTCAATTAAAATGCAATTTTTAAGTCTATTTATATATTTTTAAATCTGAATATTATTCATTTTTTAAATGTAATTGTATTTTTAGAAGTAGTAATATTATAATATATGAAGAAAGTTAATTCAAAATGCTAGTATGCTGGTACAATGATTAAAATAAAGAAAAATTACTTATATTGCAATATATAATTACAAATCATATAAAATATTATTATGTTTTATTTTTTTTTTAATTTTCATATTATATTACAATGAGTAGATAGTTGTATTTGTTATGCTACAGATGAGTGCTGTTATTAATTTTTCTCAAAAGTACTATAATTTATTACCTATACTTATATTTCAGAACAAAAGTGTCTCGAGTATTGGTAAGTGTAATGCTCTATCCGTCTTTTTAACTCATTCGTTTTGTCTTTTTACAAGAAAGATGTATTTTTTTTTTTCATAAATTAAATTATAATTTTTACAGCTAATTAATTAATGTTTATAATTTTGTAGAAGTTTGAAATACAAATTTCAAAATATCTTTTAATATATTAATACTAAATATAAAAATATTTTTTATACATGTTATTTCTCATATATTTTTCCAAACTTATTACTTAAAAATATTTTTATAAATTTTTAAATTGATTATATTATATTACACTGCACTTCCTTGTAAAATGACATAATTTATACAAAATATGCAAAAAATATTAACTGATTTCATAAGTTACTGATGTTTTATTAATTTAAAAAAGAAAATAAATTTATTTATATTTTTAATATATTTAGAAATATATTAAATTTATTAAATAATATCGGTTAATAAGATGAATTTTATCATTTTTATTTAAAAAGAAATATTCTAAGAATATTATTTTACGAATACAACGATTTTGTAAAATATTAATAAAATATTATGATAAAATAATAATTATAATTATAATATATATATATATACTCACATATATATATATATATATATATATATATACAAATTTGAAAAAATTGAGAAAGAAATCAGTTTTATAAATTCAATTATTTCTTTTAAAAATTATTTTAATAATTTTATTACTTTTTAAATAATCAAAATACATCAGTAATAATTGAAATCGAAATATTTCATAGATCGCATATCTATGAAATTGCATTTATACATTTGTTTCTGCGCTTTAGAATCAAATGTATTATTATTGTATGGCGCGCGTAAACAAACAAACAAGGTTGCCGTAAGTCAAAATCAGAGCAAAATCAAAATATAAGTTAAACTTATTCTTGTTATATACTTAATTCACTCATATTTTCTAAAAATATAAAATCATAATTGCATTTATACATAATTGCATCAAACAATTTTTTATATTTAGAACTATATAGAAACTAGAAACAAACTTTAACTATTCTATATTTAGTAATTAAAGTAAATTTTTTTATTTTTAATTACATATAACTTTTTATAAAATAATTTTCTTATTTATCGACTAACGGCTTCCTATTTATATATCTATTAGCAAATAAAGAATGTCACAGCATTTCTCATTTCTTCTTTGATTTTATATAATTTTTATATTCATGATTTAAATATTATATAAGTTTTATTTTTTTTATCATAATAAAATAAATAACGAAAACAAAGAATTGATGTGACTTTCTAGCGTAATATTCGGCGGAAAGATTTTTCATAGTAAACACTTTCTGGGAAACTATTTAACAGCATCTATGTGGACCTGAACAAATACCATGTTTTAAATAACCTTGTGCCAGCTATTAACATATTGGCTGACTTTCTTTCACAGATAATGTTTGGCAGAAATTTATTTGTTACATTCATTTTTCACAAGTTCATAATTTATATATTTCAACATGATAAGATATATTATTCAAGAAATAAATATAATACTTGTAGCCAATAATTTCTGTCAGCAATATAAGTGTATGAGGAACAATTCAGCTTTAATTCATTGACTAACGTGCGTTTCTGTGTTTTTTGTCTTGTTGATAGCGTTTGGCAGATTCCCGTCGACGATGACAACGTTTACCCAGGGAAGCTACACATGTATGCGATTCACCAGTCTGAGTAATCCAATAAAAAGCGCGCGACTAACAAAGCTTCAAACCGGAAAAAATTATAGCAGAATTTCAATTCGCGTTTGAAGCTTTGTAAAAGAACATTGTAATTAATATAAGCAAGAGATTTGCGCGTAGAAGCAGCCTTCTGATGCCTTGAAGAATCTATATGTATTCAACACAAATATTTCTAGTATTTAACGTAGTTTGATACGTGATGGACATACTTTTTTATTTTGCAAAAATTCACAAAGCATTTATTAAAGTTTTTTTCTTTTCTTGTAAAATATTTTTTTGCTAATATTGTTCTATTTTTATTTTATTTTCGGCATTTTTGTCTGTAATTGCACTTTAATTCATTGATATATTCATATTAAATATATTTTAAAATTATATTAATGCAAATTTTGTTTGCAAAAATAACTTTTTCGAAAAATTTTATGTAATAATAATTTTTGCATGTGAAGTAAGTCCATCTAAAATTTCTACATCTAAAATTGGCGAAGTTAGGAGAATTTCATAAAATGTTGAGAGCTTTTCCTGAGAATTATACTGGTTAAACACAATCAACTAAAGTTGTGTCTTCTATGCTTCTATTTTATTTTTTAGAATTTTTAAAAATATTTATTTTTTGTAAAATTCGCTACAATTCATTAAAAAAAGTTTTTATTGCATTTATGAAAGGCATCTTTTGTAAATTGTGAATGACCAGGAATATATCCTCCTTTTGCCAACTTGCCTGTACTAATTTCTTTTAGTTCCAGAAACTGCTTCTTTTCAGGAGTAATAGGAGTTTTATTTCAGGCGCATTTTGGCAAACTGGATTACCATTTTCCTAATCCCATTTCCTTTTCTTTTATCTCAGGAATTTATCATTGCGCGAACTTTGGTGCAACATTCTTCAATTTTTAATTCCTTTATTATTATATTTTACTCTAGTCGTAATTGGTTTAAACTTTAACATATATATATGATCTTCTGTAGTTGAAAAATTAATCTTCCTCTAATGACATTCATTTCCCAAAATACCTCATAAGTTTTTTCTTTTTTTATTTAAAAATTGTTCAGTGAATGCATAAATAATCAATTTAAATATGATTAAGTTATGTATGATTTCATTCATTAATGAAATGGTGCACCGTAGTTTTTATATTCGATTAATGGATTTCTTTATTTCGTAAATACAATTTCTCTGAATTTTTAAATAATACAATGATATAATAATACAAACAATATTAATTTTATTTTAAGGAAACTTAGAATACCATTGATCGAAATTTATTATATGCATGTTACAAATTTTAAGCAAAATTAGTATTCAGAGCAGTGGAGGCCATTTCATAAATTTAAAAAAAAATTGCATAATCGCGCGTACACAATGTTTCGTATTTTACTTTATTAAGACTTGTGTCTTGGGATAGGGTTCTCGAATGGCTGGAAAGAAACTTTTATGAGTGGAGATCAAGAGCCATGGGTATTCCGTGGAGGACTTACGGCTGATCTGCAGGTATATTTAATAAAAAAAATTAAAATAAAAATATTAAAAAGAAATTATAATTACATTAATAAAAAAAGAAGAAAAAATAAAGAAAACTAATATGAATTTTATCTTGCAGAGGTTAATTCCAGTAGACAGTGGAAATGACTTATTTGTTTATAAAGCACCAGAAGTGCCCAGTAGTAAAATCTATACAATTAGGCCTTACTTAGCAAGTGACGAAGATGCAGTTTATGCCGTGTGCAATAAAATTTGTAATTGTGTAACGTCTTCTGCTATTGCAGATCGGTAAAAACGATATTTTTATTATATGAATAATATTTTTTTAAAATGCGGAATTGTAAATATTGAATTTCGATAACAGATTAGTTGGAGGTTTCCTAACTTTAAGTCCAGAGCTGTGTATGGTAGTTGAAGATGAAAGTGGAATAGTAGGTTATGCATTGGCTGCCTTAAATGTAAAGTCTTATTATCAAAAATTAGCAGTTTCTTGGATTCCTGAGTTGAGAATGAAATACCCTTTAGATGACAATATTAATGACTTGTCACAAAATGTTCAGGTATTTTTTATAATTTAATTATTTAAATATCGTTTATCTATTAATCAATAATCTATTTAATCTATTTAATTTAATGTTAAAATCTAGGATGCCATACGTTATTTCCATTCATTTGTTCCGGATGTGTCTGATCAATTATGTAGACAACATCCATCAAAATTATTGTGCGCTGTGTTACCAAGTGTAACAGATCAATCTGTCCCTAAAAGATTAATTACATGTATTCTTGCGGCTCTAAGAGCAAATGGTAAATAACTTTTTATATAGTTTTATATATTAATATTTATGGAATAATATATTTTATAAAAAAAAATTTATTTAGGTTCATTTGGTGTGCATACAACAATGTCATGCACTGACAAAGAATCTCATGAATTTTATAGTAAACTCGGATTCGTTGATTTAAATCCAGCACATGAAGAACATCCTGGAATCAAAACCATGTGTAGAAGTTTCTAACAAAGAGTGAGTACACCAGTGATATTTGTGAATAAAGTGTATCTGCTTGGACCATCTTTGAAGAAAGATTCTACGATTTTGAAACAAAGTTTCGAAATGTAATATAGAAATGTATTTATTATTATCTAACAATTTGGTAAAGCTTTCTGTCTTTGTGAGTTTTCGTACAATGGACAGAATTCGATAAAAATACATTCTTAGGAATAAAAAAGAATAATACAGACAGATTTTATATTATGCAACTTTTAATAACTCGTAATTCTTTTTTGAAAATTGTCTTACGAGATATCTGTCTTTTTAAACCGTAAACAAAAGAAAATAAAATTCATTCAAATGTGTTTAATATGCACATGCAATATATATACAACAAAATATATGTTGTATTGAGTGGGGAGAATATGAAAAAGAAAGTGTAAAATGTGCAATAGTAAACTTTAAATGAGATAAACAAGAATCAAATAGTAAAGGAGAATATGTTAATTTTATATTTATGTTGTACATCGCTATGAGATTTCAGTATATCCAGTATGCTTGTATGTTAATAGGAAATTTTTTTTAAAGTTTGAAGAATGTATATATGTGATGAATGATGAACGATGAAAAAAAAAGAAAATACCAGTATGTGTGTTCAATTAATGAATTAATCGAAGCTTTTTAATCCATTGAAAAATATTTTCTTATAAAAACTACACATGCAAATGGCGAAAAAAAACTATAAGTCAAAGATAGAAAAACTTCGATCGGTTCGCTTTTACTGAAACGCTATAAAAAAAAATAAAACTAGTTTTAACATTGGATTCGCGTTTCTAAGAAAATCACCTAATCTATAGGTATTGTACTGCCCAATTACAAAATATTCTCTTCGAAGATGTACATAATTAATATTTAATATGCCTATTGCGAGGCCTTTTTATGTTTAATATATCCATCCTAATTAATGTTATTCTTGTTTATATGGATGTCGATATAATTAATAATTCCTAATTGGCTCTACAATCGTATTATATAATACGCATGTATGTCACGAAACATGTGATATATATATATATAGAATTATTTAGAAAATTGAATGAATGATTATTTCATTAGTGCTCACACGTCCGAAAACAACTAATTATTTACTAATCTAATTTTATCACATTCGAAACGTACATGTTATGTTTTATATTGTTGCTTACTTTATTATTAATGATAATAAGTTTCTATTCTATTGCAAATAATCGATTCATTTATAAATACACAAAAATTATTTATATTCAGAAGAAAACGGATATATAATGTGTATTCAACACTAACAATTAGTAATAATGATTAAGTCTTTACATTATTAGTTATAAATTAACAAGCTAGTTGTTTGTATCGCATTGTATGCATCAATGTATCAAATGTACAGAGTCAAAATAGAAAATAATTACCGAATAAGGTAAATTTACAAATAGATACATAACGCGAAAAAAAATTTAAATAAATATAAAGATCTTAGATATTTGCCTTATAATTACTATTAATCACAATACTATTGCAAAACAATATCATGGATTAAGAATGTCATTTTTTCGATTTTAAATATGGAATGAATCATATATTCAGTGTCATATACAAGAAAGAAAAAAAAAGTTTCGAACATGAAAATTATTCTCTTCTTGAAAAATAGAATAATTATCTATTTTAATTCGGATTATTCAATTTGTAAAATTTTTATATTCGCTATATATTTTTGCGATGATCTTACATTAAAAAACAACAAAGAAAAAAGGGTTGTGTAGACGGGAAGGCTGGAAAGTAAAAATGTTTTATATATTTTGTTACTTTCTTTTTTTTATTTTTATATATAGTTATATTATGATTTATTAATTATATGTACGTATTTTTTGCCACACAAAATATGTTAATGCACATTTTACATAAAGATTCTATATTTAATACAAATCATTTTTCGAATGCATAACTTTTTTATAATAGACAACTTTTAATACGTGTTTTCTTTTTTTGATACTTTTTAAACACTAAAAAAAAACGATGTGCGTACAATAATATTTCCAGTTATCTCGTCGTGTATTAAGTACTGAATGTGTAATTAATATTATTGAAACGATATGTGATTACTATTGATTTATTTAAATAAACATGTCAAGACTGATACTCCTGGTGTAATCAGAAAGAGATCGGTATTGATATCATTGCAATTTTAATTTTGCGATGATACTTTATGTGGTACATTGATTTCATTGTATTTTCGCAAATTCTGAATTTCATTTTGAAATTGTAATATCTGGAATTTCAAAGAAAATGCATCAATACTATTTAATAAGAATGTATTTTCTTTCTATAATGATTACTAAAATTTTAGTATAAAAAAATAATCTAAGTACCTTTTCTATTTCATTTTTATACAAGTTCTGTTTGGTTCTAGGACTTTTTTCATACGTAATATTTATTTCGAGTTTATTTAAAGATTCTAATAATTCGTTAATTTTCTTGTTAATATCTCTGAAAAGTTTTTATTTAATTTTATATAATATTTTTATTATCTCATAAATTATAAAATATTTTTAAATATAAGTATAAATATAAATTTTTACTTACATAGGTGATGAAAATCTTTGTTTGTCTTTTTTCTTTGATTTCAACTTTTTCTATAATTTAAATTAATGGATTTTTAATAAAATTTTTGTAAAACTTTGTAGAAAAAGAAAATAAAAAGGTAAAAAACATATCTCACCAATTTAGAATTTTGTTTGAATATAGAAGCATAATCTTCAACATCAATATCAAATGGAATGTCATCTATTAAAAAAATATTATTTAATATAAAAATAATAAAATAATAACATTTATTTTATAATATATACCTTCATTTCTCTTCATTGCCTTTTGCATAGCTTTGGTATAACTTCTTTTATCCCGCCTCCATTCTTTTAAAAAATTTTCATCTCTAAAGTGATAAGATATATAATAACAAATTTAAAAAGATTAATAGTTATTAAAATTTGTTAAAATTAAAGTTAAAAAAATATATCATATCTTACTTTATTTTTTGGATTGTTGCTGTTTGTTTAGCAATTAAATCTCTTAACTTAGAAAACCATAATAATCGATGTTCCATTATAATGTTTGCACCTTTATTTTCACATCTAAACGAATTAAAAATCAAAATTAAAAATGCTAATATATATATAAAATACAAATTATAGAAACTTAAACTTAATTTTTTAAATTATTAAAAAATGGGATATTAATTAGAATAAAGTAATAATATTAAACAAATTTATTATTTAATTTCTATATTTCTATAATTTTTATAACATGCTTTGTCTTTATTTTTATTTTTTTATATTACATAATCTAACTATTTATTTAACCCTAAATAATTTTCCAAATATGAAAGTATCCAATTCGAATCGTTTAATTTCATAGGATTTAATTTAAATTTCTTTCCATCATTAGTAACAATATCGAAAATATGTTCAATATTTTCTATATTATTTATATATTTTTTATTGTTTTTTTTGAATGAAATATTTTTTGTTTGCGCAAGAACAGGTGTTTTCATTCTATTAATCTGTCTACATTCTTTCTCTGTTGATTTATTAAAAGTTTTCAAAATTTTTACATTTTTTCTAACATACAGAGATCTTGGAGATGAGCCCATCAAACGTAAAATTTTATTATTATTTATCATTATATCGATATAATAATCTATTTTATTGTTAAAACTATTTATAATTTTGAAATCATTATATTTTGTTTTTTCACAATTATATTTTAATTTTCTATTGATTTTGAAATTGGTTATTTTTTGCAAATAAGAGTCAAAAAAAGATTCTTTGAATTCTTTTTTTAAAGAATAATTATCATTCATAGATGTTAATTTTTTATTGTAGTACCTGCTACTTGGCTTATATAATTTACGTTTTTCGCTTATAGCTATATTTCTATTACATATGGTGTCCTTTAATGATATTATTTTCTTTTTATTTTTTCGTGGAGATTGATAACATAGAATTGTCGATAATTTTGGTTCAATTTTATCTGAAATAATAAAAATATTTTAAATATTATTTTTTTAATTTATTTTATTTTCTATTGTAAATTTAAAAAACATTAAAAATCTTTTTCTTAAATCGACTCATTAATTATTCATTTAAGTATATTGTATGTTACATATTTTAAAAAATCAATAAATTATATTAATAAAATTTAAAGTTACAATAAATTCCTATGTTCTTCTCAAAAATATTCACTTTTTTTAAATATTAAATAATTATAAATTTATTTATATAAATTTTCTTACAAAACTAAAATTATTTACTTTTTTTGGGTTCTATCCATTCATCAGGATGTAGTTTATTCCATTCAATTCGTAAGAATTCCAAAATGGTAGCGCAACCGGAACCTACAATATCTTGCGGTGGCATGATAAGTGGATTATCTGCTACTTGAAGATTTTTTAGATTTGATAGGGTGCCTAAAACAAGATTAAGTATTTTCATGTTTTAAATTTTTTATACAATAAATTATTTTCAGAAAAATGAATATATCATTAATGTAATTTAAAATAATATATTACAGTTAATTTTATGACCATCTTTATCATATATTATATTCTTAAATATCTACATTTACAATATAATTTAATTCTATGTTCATATATTANATATATATTATTATATAATATAATATTATTATAAAATATATTTATTTATTATTTAAAAGATAAAAAATATAATAATTATAAATAAATAATATAATTAATAAGATTTATAATTTAAACTTAACAAAGTTCCAATGGTAATTCCTTCATTTTATTTCCTTGAAGTAAAATTGTTTCTAAGCAGCTATGCCATTTAATGCTAACTGGCAAAAAAGTAATTTGATTATTTCTGATATCTAACCACTGTAGATAATTTAAATAAGTAAAAATTTCGTCAGGAACTTCGATCAAATTGTTGTTCGACAAATATAACATCTAAAAACAATAGAAATATATTCAAAATTTAAAATTATATCAAAAAAACTTATGTTAATTGTTTTGCTAATATTTTAATGCAATTACTTGAAAAAATAAGCTACCCTTAATTGTGAAAAGTTGTTTAATATCACAATAGGAAATTGTTTTAAATCTGTATTTGAAAAATCTGCAAACATGTCATTGTAAATAGGTTCCTTTTTTGGTACTAATGGCGATGAAATAGATTCGTTTGACGGTACACTTGTATTACTTTTCAAAAATGTTTTTGATTCTTTATGTGACAAGGAAGAATATTCTGAAACATCGTTAGAAAATGTATCCTCGATAAGTTCCAAATTTAATTCATCTTTCTTTGCATCTTTTATCTCATCAATTATTTCTATTTCTATAATAATAATAAAAGATATAATTTCTTTTAAGTTAAATAGAGAATATTTGATATAAATATTAATACCTGGATCTTCGATATTTATTTTAATATAATTTGAAGAAACATCATTTGTTGATTGCTCGGGTAAATGTACATCTGATATACCAGACAATTGTTCGTATGATTGTTTAGGTGATACATTTTCAAGAGTGCTACAAAGAATATTCGGACCAAAGTCGATATTTCTTATATCGAAATTTTCATTATTGTCATATGCATCTTCCAAGTTATTTAAAACTTGTGAGGATTGTGGATACAAATCGTTTCCAATACTAAGTTTTCGATCCTCCTCAATATTTTTCTTTATTATGAAAATTGTATTAAAGATTATAAAATATCTTCATAACATATTAAAATATATAATACATTTAAAAAAATAAATAAAAAACAATAATTTCATATCTCTTGAATATAAATAATTATTAGTTTTAGAAGAAGAAAAGATAATTAATTAATTAATTAAAATTAATTAAAGTTGTAAAAGTGAAAATTTATCATACTATTATAATAGATAATATTTAGAAATATATTATCAATTATAATTAAAATATTATGAATGTCTCCAGAATAAAAAAAAATATATAATATATATTTATAAAATATATAATAAAATATATAATAAATATAATACATATTAAATAAAAATGAAATAAATCCATTTTTCATTCATGAATAATTATTAATTCAATAAAAAATTATACAAAAAAATATTTCATCAAAATGAAAAGAACAGCATTATCAATATTTTATAAATAAATAAAGATAAAATATACAATTTTGATTACCTGAAACTCTTCATTGGCCACATTCTCATCATTGCTGGTTAAAGAGTGCTCAGTAATCTGTTTTTCATCTTCGTTTTTTACTCTTTCGATATTACGATGTATCGAGAGAAACTTTTTGCCACTCGATGCTGCACCAAACCCATAATATTGTATTAATAAATCTTTAGCTAAATCAGACATATTGCTGAACAAGTTGTTTCTTACAATTTTTGCAAACAATCCTAGAAGTTGACAATGATAATTCAACTATGGATGATTAGATCGATTCCATTTCATGTTTATTTATTGCCTAGGTGATGAAGAAGATACACGTATACATATGATTTAAAATAGGAATTACTATCGATTTAGTCAACTATAGTATCATTTTTATAAATGATTTATTAATTATAACAAATATATTAATTTGAATATCAGAATATAAATTCTGTAAAAGGATAAATTTTTCCAAAAAGATTTTGAATTAAATAAATATTTCAAGTGTTGGAATATTCAATTAAAAAAAAAAAAGAAAATTTTATATAATTACCTATATGTTATATATTGATTTTTATTGTATTTGACTATAGTATTTGATTTTTTTGTAATTACTTCATAATATATAAGTTTACTTAATACAGTATACATAATACGTTTGATCTATACAAATGGATTATGATTATAATTGCGTCAAAAATAACCGATTATCGTTACATTTAATTATATAATTTTTGATGTATATAATATATAATATTATATCTTATAATATATCTTATTTCATTTTAAATCGATAATATCGTATTTAACAGAAAAATATTTAATAAAAGTTAGCTTGATATATACTGTTAAAGACATATATAAATATGTCTTAAGCTTGAAATATGTTATTTGAGTAACTTTAACCTTTATATATAGCCATTCAGTTTTTAGCTATATATAAAAAAAAAAAAAAAAATAAAAAATAGAATGTTTGCGAATAATTCGATAATTAAAGCTATCTATCAATTATAATAAAGATATATATCTATATATATCTTTAACAATAAATTTAAGCTTAGCTTTTAATAATAAAATCAATGAAGAAAAAATTAATTCATAGATTAATCAGAAAAGAAAATAAATTTTACAAAACAAGTATAGATAAAGAGAACAAATAATGAGAGAAAAACAAAAATAAGCTAAATCTAGGAACTAGCACAATCTCTGGAATTATGATGAAACTAATATGAGAAAAAAAGAGAGAAAATAGTGAAAAAAAAAGAGATAAAATTAATTATTATTAATCATTAGCTCCATCTCTTGAGTAACAAAAATAATTCTTTAAAAAGTTCAAATAAAGCAAGAATTATATTAATTATATATCAGCATCATCTTTTTTTAGAATTTTTTAATATTTAAAAAATGGCGCTAATCTTCAATTCTCTCTTTATCTTATCCTATCTTTGAAAAAATGTTTTTAATATCCAAGAGATGGCGCTAATAATTAATTCTTATTCTGTTTCTATTTTCCCGTTTCTATTATTATTTATTTTCTTTGTCTATACTTGTTTATAACATGTGACCAAAAATAAGATCTAATACATTAATTAAATATATTTTTATCATTTCTCTTTTAAAATTAAATGAAGTGTCTTAATTTTGTGATAATGTGAAAAATATAGATACAATATTTTTGGTTTTACAATATGCATATTTAAATATAATTACATATAAAATGCAATATTTCATATACGGATATTCTGTAATGAAATAAAATAAATTTTATTTTTTAATTTTAATTGCATATTAACAATATAGATATAAATATAGATACAATATAAATACAATATAGATATAATATTTTTGGTTTTACAATATGCATATTTAAATATAATTACATATAAAATGCAATACTTTATACACGGATATTCTGTAATAAAATAAAATAAATTTTTTTTAATTTTAATTGTATGTTAACAATAATTAGTATTAAAATCTAATTTTATTTTAAAAACTATAAATGATATAAAAATAATTAACTATGAAATAAATAATATACGAACCAATAAATGTTATTGGAGCATTTTAAATAAACTTATTATTTAAAGTAACTTTTCGAAACTAATTTATTTTTCAGCTCTGATTATAGTTAAATACAAGGATTTATATATAGTTATTATATATTTAGGCAAGGTTTACTTAGGTTTTATGAATATGCTTTCTCTATTATAAATATAAATGTTGTAAACAATAAAAGTATAATAATAATAAAAGTATGATCGTTATATTTTTCTTCTTAATTTATTATTTAATCCTCTCAATTATAATTCTAGAGTCTTTTATTATTATTATTATTACCCCTGCAGAATAACTGAACATATTTCGTATTGTATGAAAAACTATCTGGAAGATATATATATATATAAAAGTATCTATGACATTTTAAATACAATTAATTAAATACAATAATTTTTTCTATGTTCTATATAATAATTCATCAAAAGATGAAATAAAAGATTTTATAGATTAAATTAAATTAAAATATTCATATATATCGTTACATTAATAATAAATATATTTATAAATATATTTTAATAAATAATATATATATGTAATAATATATATACAGGATTTATTTTATTAAAAATTTAAAATCGATTTTACATCGATTTACTATAAACTCTTAAAATCTTGAACTTTTTTTTTTTAGTACTTTTTGTATATATTAAAACAAATTTACTTATATAATTATATTTCTTCGCCATTTTATAATAAATATTGGTATAATATGCTGTATCATCAATAGATGGCATTGTACCATTGCGTCCTGTTGCTAAGCAACGCATTCCCCCATTAGACGATGATTCCTTCTCTCTTACTTACTATTGTATAGTACACGTTGTATACCTTGATAATGTCAGTGTCGCGCAGTTCGGCGTAGAGAACTCTTCGAAAATTTTTGCTACGTATTTGTATTGGTTATTCTGTACGACGTACGCGTTGGTGAGCTAACCAAGTTATCTTCAGTCAGCAGCTATACAATATTAATATAAAATATAAAGTAATAAATATTTAATATATATATAAAATGTCGGATTCGGAAGCAAGTAATCTCTCTGATAATGAAAGTGATCGTGGCGGTGGCGGTAGCGAAAGTGATCAAGAAGAAAATCACTCAGTAAAATCCGCAGCTGGCAGCGATGCAGGTAGTGTTGGTGAAAGATCTCATAGTGCTTCTCGCAGTAGAAGTCCATCTAGATCACGATCTAGAAGTCCATCAAGGTGGCGATCACGATCTCAATCAGCATCTGGGTAATTAAAATTTAATATTTATTTTAAAATTTAATATTTATTTCATAATTTATTAAGGTTAGGTTAGTATTAGTACTACCATATCGTTTGCATTGAAATTCACTAATATACATGATTATAAGTTTACATGATGGCAATGAATTTCCTAATTTTTTCTTTCTTTCTCTCTCTGAAATAATTGATTTTAAACGAAATATTCATTTGTTATTCGTTTAATATCGTTGGATTAATATCAAATTATGATATATGTATGTAATATTTTATGTAATCATGAATAATAGTGTTTGGCGAAATCGATTATTACGGTATTTTATATATTTTTGAAATCATTTTTTTACATATTCAGATTATATTATAAACATATATTATAAATATATATAATTATAAATTACAGATATATATTATTCAATATTAAACACCATTAATATTAATTAAAGATTAACTAATATTAATTAAAGATTTTTAAATATTATTTGTAAAATAATATATCATTTATTAAATAAAAAAAATATTGATTAAGAATTATAAAAATTTATATTTTCAGTTCTGACGATGGTAGAGGAGATGAAGCAGAAGAAGCAAGATCTGGTGATGAAGAAATGGTGGAGCCTGAAGAAGAACCTGAAGGTAATATAATATAATAAATATAAATAAAATAAAAAGAAATGCAATGTAATATTTCTTTTATTTTATCTAAGAAATATTTTATTTTTTATTTAGGAGAAGATTTGGAAGGAAGTAGTGAATATGATGAAGAAGAAGAAGAAGAAGACGATGATAGGCCTCGCAAGAAAAAGAAAAAAGATAAATATCGTGATTTCATTATAGACGAAGCTGAAGTAGATGATGAAGTAGAAGATGATGATGAATGGGAAGAAGGTGCTCAAGAAATTGGAATTGTTGGAAATGAAGTAGATGAATTAGGTCCTACTGCTAGAGAAATTGAAGGCAGACGTAGAGGAACAAATCTTTGGGAGTAAATATATTTTAAATATCTTCAAATTTATAGGATGATCCTCTTAGACTTAAAATAAAGCCGCAGATTAAATACTAAAACGGAATTTATATTTATATATAGTTTATAAGTTTGTAGTTATTATGAATACAACTGTTATCATTATCGATCATGTCGAAATAATTCCGTCTTTTTCGTGATATATTATTGTATATAAAATGATATTTATGCGATATTTAAATGCTTTATTCATGAGAAAATTATATATGTATTTTTGAATTTTATATTATTAAACTAATTTTAAAAAATTTTTCAGTTCCCAAAAAGAGGATGAAATAGAAGAATATCTTCGAAAAAAGTATGCAGACGAATCTATTGCTACTCGGCATTTTGGAGATGGGGGCGAAGAAATGAGCGATGAGATCACTCAACAAACTTTGTTGCCAGGTGTAAAAGATCCAAATCTATGGATGGTAAAATGTCGTATTGGAGAAGAAAAAGCCACAGTACTCCTATTAATGCGAAAATTTATAACATATCAATTTTCAAGTATATAATAAAAATTATTTTAAATCTTTATTTTAAAATCTTTATTTTAAAATATTTTTGCTTGAAAAGAATTCTAATTTTAAAATTTCTTTTAGACGAACCTCTTCAAATAAAATCCGTGGTTGCACCTGAAGGAGTAAAGGGTTATATTTATATAGAAGCATATAAACAGCCACATGTAAAAGCAGCTATTGAAAACGTAGGAAATTTAAGAATGGGTATTTGGAAACAACAGATGGTACCAATTAAAGAAATGACTGATGTATTACGTGTAGTTAAAGAACAGACAGGCTTAAAAGCGAAACAGTGGGTTAGATTAAAGAGAGGCATTTATAAGGATGATATAGCTCAAGTTGATTATGTTGATTTAGCGCAAAATCAGGTTCATTTGAAATTGTTACCCAGAATTGATTATACTAGACCACGTGGCGCTTTAAGAACAGCACAAAGTGAATCTGAAGCCTTAAAACGTAAAAAAAAAAGAAGACCAGCAGCCAAACCGTTTGACCCCGAAGCAATCCGCGCTATTGGAGGAGAAGTTACGAGCGATGGTGATTTTTTAATTTTTGAAGGAAATAGATACAGTAGAAAAGGGTATGAATTTTAATATGAATTATCACATTTATAATAAAGATTTCTTTTAAATTTATATAAATTTAAATTTTTTATTACAGATTTTTATATAAAAATTTTACGACAAGTGCTATTATTGCCGAAGGTGTAAAACCAACTTTATCTGAATTAGAAAGATTCGAAGAAGCTCCTGAAGGAGTTGAATTAGATTTAAGTGGAGCTCCAGGAACTGGTGCATCTGGTAATAAAGAAGATTCAGCTGTGACACATTCTTTTAGTACAGGGGACAATGTCGAAGTATGTGAGGGTGAATTGATCAATTTACAAGGAAAAATTGTATCAATAGATGGAAATATGATTATGGTTATGCCAAAACATGAGGAACTTAAAGAAGCTTTAGAATTCCAAGCTTCTGAATTACGAAAATATTTCACTATGGGTGATCATGTTAAAGTAAGATTGAAAAAGTAATAAATATAATACAAAATTATTTTTAATATAAATATTATATTTTAAAACTAAATTATATTTTTGATTTTGTATAGGTTGTGGCAGGAAGATATGAGGGTGATACTGGTCTGATAGTTCGAGTAGAACAAAATAGAGTAGTTCTATTTTCTGATCTTTCAATGCATGAATTAGAAGTTCTTCCAAGAGACTTACAACTTTGCTCTGATATGGCAACTGGTGTAGATAGTTTAGGTCAATTTCAATGGGGTGATTTAGTGCAGTTAGATGCACAAACAGTAGGTGTGATAGTTCGACTTGAACGTGAAAATTTCCATGTTCTTTCCATGCATGGAAAAGTTATAGAAGCTAGACCTCAAGGACTTACAAAAAGACGTGAAAATAGAAATGCGGTAGCATTAGACTCTCAACAAAATACTATACAGAAAAAAGATATTGTTAAGGTAGTGGATGGTCCACATGCTGGAAGAGGTGGTGAAATTAAACATTTATATAGAAGTTTCGCATTTTTACATTCACGAATGTTTGTTGATAATGGTGGAATTTTTGTTTGTAAAACGAGACATTTACAACTTTCTGGTGGAAGTAAGTCCAATATATCGTCCATGTCACCAATGACAGGATTTATGTCGCCGAGAATTGCTTCACCAATGCATCCTAGTGGGTTAGTAACATTTATTATTTTTTATTTTTTAATAATTCTCTAAAGTTTTATTATAAATTAACAAGTAATGTTTTATTTATAAATTTATTTTCATTCATATTTTTTATTTTTTAGTGGTGGTTTCGGAAGAGGTGGAGGTGGAAGAGGCAGAGGTCGCGGTGGTGGAGCTAGACGTGATAGAGAATTGATAGGAACTACTATCAAAATAACAGGCGGACCATACAAAGGAAACGTTGGAATAGTCAAAGATGCTATAGATACGACTGCTCGTGTAGAGTTACACTCTACTTGTCAAACCATTTCTGTAGATAGATCTCATATTGCAAACGTTGCAGTACTTACAAAAGATGGTGGTTTCAGCAGTTATAATAGGACACCAGCATATGGTGGCGGACAGACACCAATGTATGCCAGAGATGGATCTAAGACTCCCATGCATGGTTCTCAAACACCTATGTACGAAAGTAAGTTTTTAAAGCAATTATATAAGTATAAATCACGGCTAATTAAAATTAATAACTATATGGCTAAATTTTATATTTTATATTTTAAATCTAATTTTTAATAGATGGTTCTCGTACACCTCATTATGGTTCGATGACACCATCTCACGATGGTTCACGTACACCTGGGCAATCTGGAGCTTGGGATCCAGCTGTTACTAATACTCCTGCAAGAACAAATGATTTTGATGGATATAGTATGGAAGAAGGCGGATCTCCAGGTTATGCACCAGGATATCCTCCCACAGGTGGACCATTCACGCCACAAACACCTGGGACAATGTATGGTTCAGAGCAGAGTTTCAGCTCGTATCAACCAAGTCCAAGTCCAGCAGGAAGTGCTACTGCAAGTCCTAGCCCTGCGGGATATGTTGCTACTCCTTCACCAAGTGGTACTGGTTATACCACTAGTCCTCATGGAGCTTTCGCTACGCCTTCACCGATGGGTTATAGTCCTATGACTCCTGGTAAGTATTTTTTTCAATTATTTTTTATATTATAGTTAGAATATCTATTATATTGTTATTCTATTTTTTAGGAGTAGCAGGTAGTCCGTACAATCCACAAACACCAGGCGCTGGCTTAGACACTGGCGTTGGTGCTGGAGTCATTGGAGGAACTGAATGGCATACCACAGATATTGAAGTTCGAATCCGTGATTCTCATCAGGATCCTGCATTGGCGGGTCAGCAAGGTGTTATTAGAGGAATATCTGTAAGTGATACTATTTTGTGGTAAAAAAACTCAAGATATTAATCGAATATTGGAATCAGAAAATATAGCTATCAATCAAAAATTTTTAATGCCCTAAAACAGGGTGGAATGTGTGCAGTCTTCCTACCCGTAGAAGACAGAGTAGTGAACTTGGTTTGTGAAGAACTAGAACCAGTAGTTCCATCGCGGGGGGATCGAGTCAAAGTAATTATTGGAGAAGACAGAGAAGCAGTGGGGACATTACTCTCCATAGATAATCAAGAAGGTGTGGTGAAATTGAATAAAGACGAAGTGAAGATGTTGCATTTGCGATTTTTATGTAAGATGAAGGCACCGAATACATAATTCTTCATTCCAAGGCAATCTTCTAAACTTGAAAAAGCTAACACTCGCATGGATATGGGTAAAAAACTTAAGGAACGATCATTGATAGATCCGGACATTTCTATTTTAAAAAAAGAATTATCCTAAGAATTCTTACTTGTTTTCTAATTTCTAAATAATTAACTTAGAAATATATTTTCTAACATATTTCAATATATATTTTCTAATATACTAAAATATTATTTCTTAAAATTTTCTATCAAATAATCATTTAAATAGTTTTTTAAATAGTTATTTAAAAAAAATCTTTTATTTTTAGGATTTTTCATCTCTAAAAAGTTTTGTATATTCTATATATTTATTTTTCTTAAACTTTGCTTACTTGCACTTACTTTGCAGTTATTATATTTTTAACAATATTTAATGTTTTTTTCTATAGCATATTTTTCTTTTTTTTTCTTGCTTTTTTCGCATATATGCTTTAGTTTGTATGCTTGTAAATTTCAATTATATAATTTTTTAATTCAATTACATGTTTTTGTTTGAATTATTGTTACTTATATTAAAACTAATTTGTATGTTTGTAATGTTTTCTTCAGCACATAATTTTTAATTGAAGTATCTATTTTCTGATTTATTAATTCACCAAATTTTCTGAAAATTTTTTTCCTCTCATTTTCTTTATAATACTAGCATTATAATACTAGAATCTCTTTCTCTCTATTTCGATTTCGATAATTTTTTTAATTGAACTATATATTTATCAGCTTTATATTTTATGAAAAATGATGATTCAAAGTAGTTATCGAATTATATGTTAGTGAAGCTGAATGTTAATTGAAGAATTATTTTATCACAAATAAAATCTGGCTGATAAAATTTTCCTCGATCCAAAGAAACCCACTAAGGACCGTGCGAGTGTTGCAAAGATTTAAGCGCTTCAGGAATTCGAAAAATTTTTAACAAGAATTGTTCAAACAACGTAATGATTTTACGTTGTACTTGTTATGTTTAAAATAGCAATCAAATTATTTAAAATAAATACATATTATTATTGTGAATTAATGAAATGACTTTCCTTAAATAAGATAATTTTAACTTTTTGCAAGATAAAAAATGCTCAACGATTTGTATAAAATACTTCATTGATTGTTTTATGATGTAAAGTTGTATTTTGATGTAAATACAACAAGAAAGTTAAAAAGAAATGAAACTATTGATTTAATTTTTCTTTCATTGAAAACAAAATCGAAGTAATTACGTATTAAGAATTTATATACTTGAAATTGTGCACTAATCATTTATGACGATTCATTGATCTGAAATCAGTTGCATAAGAAACGAGAGAAAGTCGTGGCGAGATGATTAGGGAACACTCAAGAGCTCGGTATAAATTTTCCAAGGGAAATTTTTTCAAGGCAAAGTCGTACTAATCGGGATTTACCGATTGGAGTATGAGATCATGTTTCCTATGGTTCTTTCGGGTATTTGTAGCAACTACTCTCGTTAATATAGAAAGGTATACAATTATAAATATTAACATCATATTTATTTTATTTATTTTATTTTATTTATTTTATTTTATTTTATAATTAATATAATATAAAAAAATAAAGAAAGAATAATTAATTAATAATATAAAGCTAAGAATAATATGTTTTAAATAATATATAATCTCTTTAGTTACTATTATTATGAATGTAGGGTGATGGGTTTTATTTTCAAACATGAACAAAATATTGGCACGGTTTTATTTGACAAAAGTGATGCTACTAAACATTGTTGGACCACAGAGGAATTTATTATCTTGAATAGTCGACGAATGTTTCAAGATTTGTTACCAAAGGTAAATATGTGTTAACCTTATTTTATTTATTAAGCTTTAATGAATAGAATTAAATTATAGATTTAATTAATTTTTCTATCTTATTTTAGATTATTATTAAGTTTTTTATTAACCTTTACTCTTTATTTATTTAGTTACATTCACAAATTTTTCATACTTTTTATTTATTTTCATACTTTTTACCTATTTATTTACTTAATTTAATTATCTATTTAATTATTTAATTTACGAACAATTAGTTTACAAATAATATTTTATTTTATTTTAAATTAATTTTTTAATATTAAATTTAAGAAATTTAAAGTTCCTTCATAAATAAGATAGTTTATTTTTACAAAATTATTTTATTTATCATTTTTATTTTATTATCATTTTATTTTTATTTATCATTTTATTTTAAGTATATAAATTCTTAATTTCTTGAGGATATTTGAAGTGTTTTTTATTTTTCTTTAATTTCAGCACGATTTTAAAGGATACAAACATATATTGTATTTTTTAAAATATATATGATGATTTTATACATATTATTTTCTTTAAACATTCCAAAATGTATTTCAATTTCATTTAAATAAATGATTAAAAAATAAAGAATAAATATTTTTTTATAACCTTGATAAGTTTTTTCTAACATCTCAAACAATAAAAATTGCCAAATTAAAAACAAATTACTTAAATATATTGAATTGTTTATTAATACTTCAACTTTCCATTCCATCTTCTTGAAAAAAGTTCGAAATCGTTCCATCATTGATTTACACTCCAAGTAGTCATCATCTCTCATCCCCATTTATATATCTGATTCCTCAGGTGAAAGTTTTAAATTGTGAGAACGATGAGTACATCGCTCTGCTGATGGATTACTTTCACGTTTGTTTCGAGAGCGTGCGTAAGCTATCGATAGGAAAAACGAAGCATCTAATGTTGAAAGCTCTGGCGGACACAATAGGTGGCTACTTGCAAGTTTACATCCTGCCCCTTACTAAACATTCCTATTATGCGGGAAACATAAAATACCGAAATGCGAGAAAGCTGTTCGAACTGCACGAGCAATTAAAGATTTTCTTACGGACTGATGGAAATGGCTGGCTGTACTCTTGCAAAGATATAAAACAGACGAAAATCCAACCGATAATGATCACGGCGCCGAAATCGTTGATCGCGTGCGAAGGCCTTATTACCTATTCTACATGTAAGAAAATAGCTATTACCTTTTCTAAAAGGGTATTCACAGATATTTTGGACTGATGATAATTGCCTTGATGGAAGATTCAGGGAAAATGGTTTTGTTTGATATTGAGAAGGGATAAATTGCGAAAATATTGAACGTTGGAGTAAAATTTTGTGAATGCAAGAATTGAAATAATTTAAAAGATTGTTCATGTATAAAAGATTAAAATTAATTTTTTTTTTTACATAAATATATTTATACAATTTTATTATTTTTATTCATTATTTATATTTAGATAGTAAATTTATATTTATAATAACAATAATTTATATTTATAATAACAATAATATTTTTGATTATTGTATGACTAGAATTAATTTTTATTTTATAATTTGTATATTATATAAATTTAATTCTAATTTGTAATTTATTTTATTTTATCATTCGTTTATTAGCTGCAATTGGATTCAATAAACGAGATGTAAAACGTTTCACATTCAAACAGAAAAAGAAACATTTGAAACACAAAAACAGAAGTAAAAATTCTAGTAAGTTTGTGAGGATAAATATAATTTCAATTTAAAAAATATTTTTAATATTAAATATATCCTTATATGATTTGAAGGACACAAACATGAGTCTGCAGAAGAGGAATCGATTATCATCCCTCTTCCCTTTCTGGACGATGATGTACTGCCAAATAGGTATCGGTCTCGAACCATATATGTTCAATGAGCAACACGGACGATGTTAAAATGGAATTTTTTTTTCAGTATCGCTTTACCATTTAAGAAAGATACCTTGCAGTCCATGTACAGTGAACGATCGACTTTTGCATTGGTTAAATACTACATAGCTAGCGTGAAGTGCATCACTGCGAAGTCGAAAGAAAAAACTGATCTGGAAAATTTTAATCAGGATTTTTACGATTGGCTGCAGCAATCCGTACGTTGTGAGTCGCTGTGATCGAGAGTGGCAATTTTTTTTAAATATCCCATTTTAAGGAATTGTTTAAGTGCATACAAGAAATCTCTTTGCACAAAATACTATAATAATAATAATATTTTACAAGTTACAAATAATACTAATGAAATTTTATTTGCATGATATTAAATTTAATAACAAAATTTTAAGTCATTTAATTATTCTATTTTGCATAAAATTTAACAAAAGAAAGTTTATGAGCTAACTTTAATTTTATCAATTTATTAATCTTATTATTATGTGCAAAAAGACTTAAGTCACTCAAAAAATTTATAGTTCACTTATTAGTATATTTTTTTTTTTTGATTGAATGAATATTATTTTTTTCTAAAATTCATATTTTATTTCATATTACATTATTCAAATTTATCATCAGACAATTTTCATCATTTCTCCAGGTTGTACGACATCTCGATGATGAAAAATGGTATCCAGCGTTTGGCGGCGTACTGAGGGTAATAACCTCATTGGAGGACGCTGGTACGATACTTTTCCTTATTTGCAATTTTCCAATGTACAACATTCTTGTAATTCATCGTTTTTCCATGTCAGGTGCGGGTCTCGCGAAAGGAAGAAAAAGCGGTACCTATCAAGTGATGCCCAAATTAGGCTCGTCATCGACTGCAATGCCGGAAGATGTGTCACCTTTGTATAAAGGTGAGAAGAGAAAGTAGTGCTCCACTCCAATTGTTGAATTTTCTATGATCTGTGCTTTCTAATGTTTCTGCTGTTAATTTCTTTTCTTGGTTTTAGAGGAGGAAACGGAAGTCACGCTTGGTACGACAGAATTAATATCGATTGCCGTAGTGAGCGCATTGTTGGTATGGTTACTAGTGGGACTGAGCTTGGTCTGCTACAGATTCCTCATAAGAAACTCGGATGAATGTATCCCGTGTGAACCTGATCCTGCGTATGTTTTAGTGAATTTTTTAAAGATTATAAAGAAAAAGCAACATATAAAACAGATTTATAATATATTGAATATTTTGAAGACTTTCTAATATTCAATATATTGTTAATATGTTGATTATATGTCAATCAAATTATTTCTTATATGTTTTTTTAATTTTGTATCTTTATCAATATTTTAATAATTCAAAAAATATTGTTGTAAAATAAAAAATTATATCTTTGACTTTTTCTTTATAAATATGAATGTTTTTTTTATTTATAAATATTTTATATTTTTTGATTTAATAATAATAATATCAGATTTTTCTTATTATATTTTAACAATTATTTTAACAAAATTATTTTCTTTTGACTTACAAATTTTTTTTTTCATTTAATATAGAGTTGCTGTTTTGTACGAAAATAAAGATTACTGTGAACCCGACACGTGTACAAAAGCGCCTCGTAAAGGATATATAGTGAAGATAGTGGATTGTTTAAAAAACAGATTTCATTGCAAAACTCGGGATCAATTAGACGAGGAGCGTTGTTTAGCTGCAATTAGTTATACTAGTAAAGATACGATCGATGTTAGTAGTAGCAGAAGTTATCAGTAAGTAAACTATTATTTTTTAAAGATTAATATATTATTATAAGATTGATAAAATAAAAATATTTTCTATTATAATATAAATATATAATAATATAATATATATAATATAATATATATAATAAAAATATAATATAAATATATAAATATAAATATATAATATAAATAAAATATAATAATAAAATATAATAATGATTAATTTTTTTATTTAAAATTTAAGATATACTTTTAAAATTTAAACATTAAATAATAATGTTTAAAATAATAAAATACATTAAATAATTGTATTTTTCATCCCTTTTTAGGAAAAGAAAAATAACTAAATCGGTTTCAGCGGCATTATCAAGTTACCGAAAGGAACGTGTACCCGTCAGGGTACGTAATTTAATAAAATTTTTTTAACAGTATGGATGGAAAATAATTGTAAATTTATTTGAATTTGTGCAGAAAGTATATTATAGCTCAGATGGCTCATTAACTACGGAGAGTGTTTGCAAACAGAGATAATAAGAAACTACAAGTTTTCATTTATCTTTTAATATCTATACATTTTTTAGTA